TGAGTGAAATTAATTAACGACGCCACTTTGTTTTAAATTTTAAGACTTTGAGTAAAAAATATCAAGTCTTTTCAAGTAAACAGCTTCAAGTCGAGTCAAGTCCGAAGTCAATGGCATGAAAGTCAAAGTCAAGTCCGAGTCTTTGAGCATTTTTTCAAGTCAAATCTCAAGTCGTGATTTTAACGACTCGAGTCCAAGTCAGGGCGGCACGGTGGTGTGGTTTCGCCTCCCAGCAAGATGGTTCTGGGTTGGAGTCCCGGGGGAACCAGGACCAGAGGGTTCTGGGTTGGAGTCCCGGGGTAACCAGGACCAGAGGGTTCTGGGTTGGAGTCCCGGGGTAACCAGGACCAGAGGGTTCTGGGTTGGAGTCCCGGGGGAACCAGGACCAGAGGGTTCTGGGTTGGAGTCCCGGGGGAACCAGGACCTTTCTGGGTGGAGTTTGCATGTTCTCCCTGTGTTTGTGGGTTCTCTCCGGGTTCTCCGGCTTCCTCCCACAGTCCAAAAACCTGCATGTTAGGTTGATTGGAGATCGGGGAAAATTGCCCTTAGGAGTGAATGTGAGTGTGAGTGGTTGTTTGTCCTTGTGTGTCTCTGTGTGTCCCTGTGATGGACTGGGGACTGTCCAGGGTGACCCTGCCTCTCGCCCGTTGGCTACTGGGATAGGCTCCAGTTCCCCCCGCGACCCCATCAGGGAATAAGCAGCATTGATAATGGATGGATGGATGGATGGACTTTGAGTAAAAAATATAAAGTCGATTCAAGTCCGAAGTCAATGGCATGAAAGTCAAAGTCAAGTCCGAGTCTTTGAGCATTTTTTCAAGTCAAGTCTCAAGTCGTGATTTTAACGACTCGAGTCCAAGTCATGTGATTCGAGTCACCACTACACCACCCCTCCTCATCGTTCAGGGGCCGTGGGGCGTTCAGGGGGCGGGGGGGACTGGGACCTACCGGAGTGGATCCCGTGGGGCGTTCAGGGGCCGTGGGGCGTTCAGGGACCTACCGGAGTGGATCCCGGCGCGGATCTGCAGCTGCATGTTGGGTTTGTGGGGGATCCTGAAGCTCCGGCACACGGCCACCAGGTCCAGAGCCATGCTGGCGATCTCGCTGGCGTGCAGGATGCCGTTCTCCCGGGGAACCCCCGAAACCACCATGTCTACAACCACAGAACCAAAGAGGCGTTCACAGACCCCAACACGCCAGAACGGGGCTCAGATCTGGAACATTCAGCCCAATCTCATCCAATTTGAGAAGAAAATGAGCCTCAATTGACCAAAAGAAGCAACACTACAGGACTGTTTCAGAAAATTTGAATATGGTGATAAAGTTCTTTATTTTCTGTAATGCAATTGAAAATCATGAAATGTCATACATTTTGGATTCATTACAAATCAACTGAAATATCGCAAGCCTTTTATTGTTTTAATATCGCTGATTATGGCTTACAGCTGAAGAAAACTCAAAAATCCGATATTCTAATATTTTGAGATAGGATATTTGGGTTTTCTTTAGCTGCACGCCATAATCAGCAATATTAAAACAATAAAAGGCTTGCGATATTTCAGTTGATTTGTAATGAATCCAGAATGTATGACATTTCATGTTTTTTAATTGCATGAAAGAAAATATTGAACTTTATCACAATATTCTAATTTTCTGAGACAGTCCTGTACATCTATGCAAATATAACCAAATAACATGCTGAGTTTGTGTTGAAATGAAGATCTGTATGTAATGTTTAGACTCGTAGATAATAATGAGGTATGGGCTGCACACTTAAGCTGGTTTCAAGTGTTATTATGGGCTCATTTGATAATTTTTGTCAGTAAATCTGGCCAAATATGAGCATTTGTGAGCTGTAACAAAGAATTTTCAGGGTTTTGGGGGGCTTCATTTCAACATTTGTCTTTGATTCCAAACTCTGTGAAACATCTTGGCCTCAAACTGAGGTTGAATAAAGCGAGAACTCATAAGCTGTTTTATCAGAGAAACACAAATAGAAATATGATTATTTTCTTTTGGAATATGCAGAAAAAAATCCCCCTTTTCTTTCTCAGCTGAGTTTGGAGTTTTGTTCTGAGTTTTTTGCTGAAATGAAGAAGAAGAAGAAGACTTTATTGATCTCACCAATGGAGAAATTCAGT